CCTTGATGGTTTGATCGTTTTTTGCACCTGTTTATTCGTTTTACTGCGGCGTCTTTGAAAATACTCAGGTGGCATGACATAACATTCCTATTATTTGATAAGCTTTAGATTATTCAGTTATTAAAAGTTTGAAATTATTTGTCTTTGCGGAAAACACTATTTAAAGAATATGGGGCCGGCAAAATACTTTGAAAATGTATTTGAAGTAAAATTACAAAACACTAGTACGAAAGTATTTTAAAATACAAACAAAATACTTATTTGACGAAATATTTTAAATATAAATTACTAGTATTTAAAATAGTTTTGTTGAAGTATGTGAATGAATATTAAATACCGGCCGTTTTTTTTTTTTTAAATAACGCTTTAGCAGATTTGAATGAAATTTTTACGGTTCATTAAAACAATTGTATATCACCTGGACCAATTAGATTTGATACAGAATTTTCAGGGGCATACCCAGCGAGCAAGTCGTTTTATTTTGTGGAAAAGGATATCACCCTGTAGTTTTTTACTGTTTTATGTAATATTCAGATAAACCCACTAAAAATAGTACATTTGTGTCTCGACTCTTTTTAGCGTCTCACTTCGTTTTTATTTTATATATTCTTTTCTACAAAAAAAAAACACTTGCTCGCTGGGTATGCCACTGGAAATTCTGGATCAAATCTAATTGGTCTAGTTGATGTATAATTGTTTTAGAGGTCACTTTAAAAAAAAAAATTAACACCCTATATCTCGGAAACGAAGCACTTGCGGACCCATGTCCATATGATTTTTTTACATATTTTGCTGAGCGAAATCTCCCGTAGGCTTCAGCTCTGAAACACCCGGTATATGGAAAATATTAATTAGCTGTACATATTTAAAATATTTTTTAGGAATATTAAATCTGAAACTCTTAGATGTGACTAAAAAAATATATGTGCAAGGCAAGTCCGATTTCAAGATCAAAAAATAAAAAAAAAACATTAGTTAAATTTTGATGATTGACTATTGACTTGACTAGTGATGACAGTGACCTAAAAGATAGTAGACAATAGGCAAAAAGTATTTGTTTTTGGTAGGTATTTTGGGTATTTTAAATATTTCGAATAAATTAAATACTCAAGAGTATTTAAATTACTTTTGGAAGAATTTAAATAATTTTTTAAAATACAAAATACTTTATTAAGTATTTGAAATACAAACTATATTTGGGGTTATAATAAAAGTATTTTAATTACAAAATACAAAATACTATTTTATGTTTAAAATACTATTTGGTATTTTTTTGTCAAATCTTTATTGTTAACCTAAAAATATGTTAAATTTCAAAACTGTTGCCAACGTCATACTAACAGTTTGAGTACAATGACCTCCAACTGTACCAATAAGTGAATAAAAAATAAGGCGCTCCGTTTAATATTTTCAAGACGACCGTCTCTTTATGACAAAAATATTTTTAAAATCCCTACAATAATATACTTAACTTTTTTTTTCGTGGTTCCAACAATAACACAGAAAAAGAAGGGGGCATTTTTCGCACCGACAACCCTGTACGTTGAAGTTACTAACTGGGGTGATTGTATAAGACGAAACCAGGGATGCCCCAGCTTATTTTGTTTGTGGGGGAGGACCCTCCATTTGTCAGAGGCATTAAGGAAGACTCGAACTCATCTTTTATATCCTGTATCGCAGTTGCTGTAACGCCAGGCAGTTATTTTTTATGGGCTCAGCTTGTCTGAATACGTAAATGCCGACGTTTGTTATCGAAAAACGTTTCTCTTTGTACCCCCACTGAGATATATGGGTCGATGTGGGTATATACTTTGAAGGCGTGCTTGTAGTGGGAGAATACTGAAAATATGGTGTTTTTTAGCGTATTAGCTGCCAAACACGCACGACAGGGCAGACGAATTTAGGGTATGTTTTTGTCGATTTGAAGTCATGTTTATTATTTTCCGTTTTGCTGGTGAGGTACAGGTTCTTCTGTTCACAGCAGATGTGTTGGTTACACACGAAACAGTGTTTACAAGAAATGGTAAATGCACAAAATTCACAACACACATTTGACAAATGGAAAGCCCACAGACAGTTTTTGTCTTTCGGCAGGAATTGTTGACGTTCGTTTAACTGATACTTTCTTTTCATCAAACTATGGTTTGTCAAGTTTTTAGTAGTTTTGTTAGCTTATGTTGTCATATATTTCACAGAAGAAAAAAAACTGCTATAGAGCTATATAAGAATTATAGTACTCTTACCGGTAAGATCTACCAACATCTCGAATTGACAGTTATGGTGGTCTTTGAGGAACTGCAAGCAGCAAGCAATCCCGTCCGGTTCGACCATTATCTCGAGCTCGTCGTACGGGGTGATCTGGACCTTTTGGACGTATTTGGGCAAACATTCAGAGACGAATATTCCAAAAGTCTTCAGTTGCTCCCTCGCGTTGAAGGGCGGTTCTTTGGTCTTTTTGCAGTCTAGGACGTGGCAGATTTCTGCGACCTTTCGAGTGCATTGTCTCGTTTGTAGAAACATTGGAGGCAAACCTATGCGTTTGCTTAAGAAATGTTTTAGCAGTGACATTGTCGAAACAAAATGTCAAAACGATTTGTGGTATGTCATATTGACAACCAGATCTAATAGTATACTATAATAGATCTATGTTGGCAACTATTGGAATCTTAAATACAGGGTGTTTGATATATACATGGACAATATGACACTAGAGAAAATAAGTTGTAATAAGAAAATTATCTTGAAAATTATTTTGTTTATAACCTTCCCTTCCAAATACAGGAACGGAATTCCGGAACACCCAGTATCAGTGCATTAAGGTCGAAGACCTCTCTTTTTACTCGTAAATCCGTAGCAGATATAAGAATTCCACGAAAAACAAAAAAATTACAATTTTGTGTTGAAAAATGTGTGAAAAGTTCGGAGGTGGTTAAGGAATGGGGACCACCCAAAAAAATAACACTGTATGTCATTTTCTTATACAGGGTGTTTCTGAAATAAATGCGTTCTTTGAAAAGGGTGATAGAGGGAAAGATTTATAACATTATATTTAGGTAGTTAAAACACTATGTTACATATATTATTACGTCACAAATCAATCTAAACATGCCTACTGAACAACTAGCACAGTTCTCTACACACACGCGGTAACACCACACCGGGTTTATTCGTATTTTTCATCAAATATAAAACACATACAATACTAAGAATAATACATTTTAAAATGTAAAAGTACAAAGTAAAAGGTAAGAACACATCGCAAAAAGAAAATATACACTTAAACGTGTAATTCTACTCAATGTATCATGTATGTACGTTCGATTTATTTACATTTTTCTTGTAAAAAAAACATTCCAAATATGTAAAATTCCTATTTGAATTTCCACTATTTTTATCAGTATAACATATTTTTAAGCCTATAGCTCAAATTTTATTATTTTATTAATATATATGCGTTCCTTTAAGAATTATTACGCAAAACCTAGGCCGACCGTGCGTCGCTCTAGTTAGTCAATTGATCCACTGTTTATGACTAGATCAAGTTCAGTGTGGTTATTCGCACGCCGCGAGTGCTGACGCAGGGGCTGGAAATCATAGACATTATCAAAATCTTACGTAAGAATAAATTCAATACAAAATTGCGGTATCAAACCAAATTTTGCAGAAAGAACCAGATAAGGAAGCAATGAGTTATCCAGAATTTTTATAAAAATTGTGTTAATTGCAAAGTAGATTCAGATATTGCTAAAAATGAACAATGACTGAAATACTTATTGATAGAACTGAAATTATACAACAAAACCTATTGTACTAGATAGGTACTCTTACAAAAGCCAATTTTTCCTCTGGAAATTATAAAAAAAACTGTCACATTTGACACGATCGTAGTTATTATTATTTTTAATATATATTCCTTCCTACTGAATATGAAAGATCTGTATTTTTTAGGCAAGAGCTAAGCTGCCGAAGCAGAGAAGAAGCGTTTTACCAGTGGAACAACCACGTAGAAAGAAAAAGGAAGACGCGACCAATAGAAGAATGAACGCCATCAAACACCCCCCAGCCGTGTTTAAAGACGCCTTTGGCAGCGCCAAATTAGGTAACTTACACTTAAAATTATATCAGACTAAGATCTGGAAACGTAGGTGGCTACTCCAAAAAAATGTTTCCGTTCACGTGTGGCTTGATGAAATTTTACCCACTCTGTTTTTAAAAAGTAAACCAATAAACTACACTGTCGAGGAAGGGTGAAATAAAAATATCTACCCGACCGTTCGTAGCTGTAAATAACTTGAAATAATGTTATTTCCATCTCACAGTTTTATATTGCAATTTATATTCAAGGAGCGGTCGCTGTTAAGCGTCGGGATGGTGCTAAATTTCCATTTGACACATTATTTCATAGCTTCTTGCCGTTATCTGGGCCCTTAATGCACTCGCCTCCACACACTGCACCCCTCTTGTTGCATCCAGAAGCGATAAAGTCGTGCACAGGAACCATTAATACGTCTGGGATGTTTCTCGTCCTAGGAGGCGACGAGGAAAAATGAAAAACGCCTAGCAATAAAATTTAATAAGTTTCATAGGTGTCCCTAAAAAAGTTTTATGCCAAAGGTAAAAAATTATAATATATGTGCAGAAAATGTCTATTATACAGAGTGACCCATTTGAAAGCGGGCCACCCTCATAACATTTTTATTTATGGAGCGATTTTGACGAAATTTTTTTTGAAATGTAGAGGGAGGAAAAGTGTATTTTGGGGCTAACCGCCGTCCAGTTCTTTTTTAAACTAAGGCCTACTAGATCACATTCAGAGGCTGAAAAATCCAGAATCCATATTAGCGATTTTTTTAGAAAAAATCTGCGTACGCCACTGGATTCGGCGTCCCCTGAAATTGATTTGTACCAAATTTCATGAAAAAATATTCAACATTAACGATTCTGCGGCTAAATTGCTGTCAAATTGTTTATTATGCATAAAGAAACTTTTTATCTAGTAACCCATGCGATAATAAATCAATCACAACAAATATTTAATAACAACATTTAATAGACATCCCTATATCAAAATACAATGAAACAAACAGAAAAATGAACGAGAAATTAACATAAAATTTACAAAAAATACAATAAAATAAAATTAACACACATGAATTAAATTAAATTCTGGAATTTTCAACTAAATGTTTATTTAATTGAATTCATTTATTGTATTGTTTTTGAATGTGTGCCATAACATTAGACAATTGATGTGTTGTAATTTCAGCGCATGCCTATCTTCTTCTTTCGCGCAGTTCTTCTGCATTCATTGGACGAGTGTAGTAAACTTTTTCTTTAATGAACCCCCATAAAAAAAATCTAGGAGAGGCAACATTTACAAAAATATTCATTCAATTAAATGGAGATTTAGTTGAAAATTCCAGAATTTAATTTAATTCATGTGTGTTAATTTTATTTTATTGTATTTTTTGTAAATTTTATGTTAATTTCTCGTTCATTTTTCTGTCTGTTTCATTGTATTTTGGTATAATGATGTCTATTAAACGTGTTATTAAATATTTGTTGTGATTGATTTATTATCGCATGGGTTACTAGATAAAAAGTTTCTTTATGCATAATAAACAATTTGACAGCAATTTAGCCGCAGAATCGTTAATGTTGAATATTTTTTCATGAAATTTGGTACAGATCCATTTCAGGGGACGCCGAATCTAGTGGCGTACGCAGATTTTTTCTAAAAAAATCGCTAATATGGATTCTGGATTTTTCAGCTTCTGAATGTGATCTAGTAGGCGTTAGTTTAAAAAAGAACTGGACGGCGCTTGGCCCCAAAATACACTTTTCCCCCCTCTACATTTAAAAAAAAATTTCGTCAAAATCGCTCCATAAATAAAAATGTTATGAGGGTGGCCCGCTTTCAAATGGGTCACTCTGTATGTTTATTTGACCATCAACATATTTTTAATTATTTATGTCCTCAAACAATTTTATTATATTGGTGGTAAATTTCGTTTTGTTCCGTTTCAAAAGGGCTCTCTATCCCTTTTGCAATTGTAATATGAATGATTAATAGAAGGTGCCTATAATAAATTAAAATTACCCTGAATCACACCAAATTCTGCATTGCTGCACTGCACTGCTAGGCCATTAGTTGACAACTGAATTTGTGGCCAGATCGCCCAGTGCGGGTGTGTTTGTGCCGCGTTTGCCCACGCGCGCATTCTTCAACTAGGCGTATACATTTCTACCACCTCCACGTTTAATTCTATCATACCTGTATATGGGTATCGCTAAATAAATATGGGAACAAGGTTTTCAAATATTTCAGTGCCGAATTGCTGCGTCAGCGACCGAACCTGGTATATACTGCCAACTTTTTGGTTCTTCAATTGAGATCGGAAAGACTATACCAGCAGGGAATTTCCCACCGAGAATGATCACTTCCGGTAAACTTTTTTATTTTTTACTAGAAAAATAACATGGTTTCATAAAAAATAAAGCTCAAAATTCATTTTTAGAAAAAACAAATGTCGCTTATGCGACTTCTAGATATAAGTCTTTCAAATATCTATATCCATTTTTCAAGTTCAAATTTTGTGTTTTGCTTATTTTTTGTTTTAATTAGAAATGAAAATCTAATGAAACAAATTCCATTTACAGGATAAAGTGAAACAAGAATGCGAGACCTAAATAAAATAAATAATCAAACGATGTTATTTTTAAACATTACCACATCTAAATGTAAGCAAGACCTGGTCGACTTTCTGTTACTGCGCCCTATAATTCTGAATACGTGGGTGCCTCGTAGCTCGCCTCTACATGTTTAAAGTGATTACAGCGGTGGTCATGGTTACCGTCTCGCAGCAGAAAGAAACAGAATGGGAGTAGCGCTTATTTACTTTGCGTATGGGCTTTATTTGGTCCGACCGCAACCAAATAATACCTATTCACCGCATTTTTTATTATTAAACGTAATTTGTTTATGTGTGGTGTACAATTTTGTTATTTACATATCGTTTCTTGTGTTTTTCAAAAAATTGTAGAAATTTAAACTGATTGTAGCACTTGCAATGATATCTATTGAAAAATCAATGGTGCGAGAGAAACCAAACATAAATGAAAAAGTAATTGAAAAGTTTATTTCGGACAAAAGCAGAAGGATGGACTTTCACTATAAAAATAATGTTGAGTACTTTTTCCCTATATTTCAATAGTACTTAAAATAAAACTACACTATTGGATTTTTTCAATACTTTGCACCTAAATTGTTGTAAATAACGTTTTAATAACGCAAGAACAAATAACTATAATCTATAAACATTACCAAATATAAAAAAGCTTTAAAGCTGACAGCCTTGTTCTAAAGTTAAATCGTCAAAAGGAAACTTTTTCGTAAGATTAAAAAGAGAAAAGTCACTGGGGTGATTATTTTCGGAGGGAAACTATGTTTGTGTGAAAAAATGTCTTAATTCAACGGAAATACTAGTTTGTATAACAAGATTTCAGGATTAGGTATATTCTGAAAGAAAGATGCTTGATGCGCCATCTGTTATTGTATCTCCGAACTATCAGAAAAATCGATACTGAAGCTATTAGAATTCTTCGTCTCTAACACAAATAATATGCTTTTATATATTTTTTTGTAGTATTTAATAAAGATGTTAAAAAATATTTATATCTGTAAGAAATTATTAACATCTACCATTTGGTCTCCATTAAGAAAATCTGATTGATTTCCACATTTCCCTAAAGAGGGCGCTATTTCGAAGACAGACTCTAATTTCATACAATCGAACACTTTTATTCTTGCTCTTTTAGTAATAAAACATTACAGATGGCGCCATATTTTACTTGACGATGGTAATGTTGATATGAAACCATGGACCCCCTGGAATCACCCTGTTATTACTCTACAAACGTCTTTTTTTTCAGGCAATGTAAATGGAGTCAATGTGATAGGACTGGCCCTACAAGGACCTTCAATGCCAAGTATTGCTGTCCTTCAGCACAACGGGCCGTACAGTTTACAGTCTCCCCAAGGTAGATATTTAATCCTCATTCCTCTTTTTACACTTCCTCAAAATCAAAGTTAAATTAACTGTTTTTCCTTCACCTTTAAATACCCAGTAGATGCAGCTACCTGTAGTATATTCTACCTGTTAATAATAAAGAAAATATCGATTTTTTTGTAAACGAAGGTCATAATTTGTGATTAAGAAAGTTTTACAATAGATAGATTAGCGGATTAAACTTGTTCTTCGTAAAAATTACCTGTATTGTCATTAAAATTATTAAATATCGAACAAAACCATGTAAAGTAATGAGAGAGTACAATAGAACTATTGTCCTTTTTATTAGGACAGCCAGAAAGCAGCAAGTAAAACATTAACTAATAAATGATCGAAATCTTGTCAATTAGATCTGCTATAATTAAATTACAGGTACAAACATTCTGAGTAACGATGTGATGCCTCAGTAGCGTTTTGCTGACATTTCCCGTTGATAAACATATCAACAAGTTCATTATTGTCTTATGTATGTGCCATTGTGTATTAAGTATGAAGTATCATTATGGTAAATATCAACATTTTTACTCCTTTTTTCCCTTAATTCCCATAAATTCCAATAAAGTGAAATAAATAAATAAATAAAATAAATAAATATTTATTTATTGCACCTTCTCTCAAACTTTGTTCCCTTGCACTCAATTCTGTGTCGTTTTTTGTAGAAATGAGTGTCACTTCCGGATTAGTAACCGTCCCCCTGCAACCCCGCCCCGCCACCACCGGCAGCGTGGACGTCTTGCCCCTCCAGCCCAGATACCTCCCCGCCTTCGACCGGGAGTTCCGCTCCGAACCGCGAGACGTCACCCCCAAAGACCAGGAAGGACACAACCCCCCCAAACCCGACCAGATCACTCTCCGTTACTTACCCGATCTGAGCCCCGCTAAGCTAACCGACACGGAGATAGGTCTGGCCAGCGTGCCGGCCATGGCGATCGGTAGCTCCACGGAGGTGTTGGTTAGCATCGTGGAGAATCAGGCGAGGTTGAGGAAAAACTCTTTTCTTTCAGCGTGTTCTAGGGAGGCGAGGGAGGGGGAGGAGGGGGAGGTAAAGTCGCCCGATATGGAGAACGTGAAGTCGCCCAGTACGGAATTCACAACTTCCACGGTGCATTCAACGCCGGTGGATGAGTTTAGCTGCCATCTAGACCCCAATGATAATGAGAAAGTTTGTGATACCAATTTCTGTTATGATGTGAACAAATATACCGTGTAAATGTGGTTAGGTTCATTTGTTGCCAGAGCAGTAAATAAAAAAAATATTAGAAGTAAAAAAATAATTTAATTAATGATGATTGTGGCGCCAACACTGACAATTTGAGAAGTGTGCCTCAAGGAGCTGTTTTAGGGCCACTTTCACTCTGGGTCATATTTATACGAAGATTTCCTTTGACTACCAGAAGTTTGTTTTTCTAATTCCGTCGTTAAAATTGACTTCTTTTAAACCATTTTTTATGATTTTCATACTCTACCTGTGAATAGACTAGTGTACCTCAAATTGGGAGCTACGGGATGCATTGTTTGCCAAATTTTTACTTTCTATATTCCATATACACGCGTGTTCATTATTCACAGAGAAATTTAACAGTGAAGACACACAAACACTCAGTACAATCACTAAACACTAATATAAACAACTTTATAAGGTTGTATACTTATTCTGCCATTCTCGTTCCACCGAATTAACGTTGGCCGTTTGTTTTTTGCCCGTTGTCATATCACATCAGGTGTATTGATATTACGTAGTTCACCTAATGTTAGACGTCATTGACATATTCACAAACTGAACACAGTGCTTCAAAATAGCAATAACTGTTATTAAAAACATGAAATGATTTGAAACGATTTTCACATTTATCAGATTAGTAACGTACCTATCAAAGTACCAATATTAGAAAACATTTTTCTCCAATTTTCAGCGTTCTGTCCACACTGACATAAAAATATATGGTATAAACCCGAACTCTAGTAATCAGCGACCCCGAAAACCTCCGTATACCAAATTTGGCGCGAATCAGTTATTTTTTGAAAATTTGGTCGGCCATCTTGGATCCGCCATCTTGAATTTTTCAAAATTGACCTCGGATCCGTGATCAGCGATCCCGAAAACTCCCGTATACCAAATTTGGCGCGAATCAGTTATTTTTTGAAAATTTGGTCTGTCATCTTGGATCCGCCATCTTTAATTTAGCAAAATTGACCTCGGATCCATGATCGGCGATCCCGAAAACCCCCATATACCAAATTTGGCGCGAATACGTTATTTTTGGAAAATTTGGTCGGCCATCTTGGATCTGCCGTCTTGAATTTAGCAAAATTGCCCTCGGATCCGTGATCAGCGACCCCAAAAACCCCCGTATACCAAATTTGGTGCGAATCTGTCATTTTTTGAAAATTAGTGATTTTTTACTTTAATTGACCCTTTTTTTTGAGGTTAGAAAAAGAACCATCAATTCTGACCGCAGATTCATGTTCGGCGGGGTCTTAACCATATAAATGAACATTTGAATATGGAGAAAAATTTTTTTTTGTATTTTTCCTAGCAATTTTTCATGAATTTTTACTATTTTTGGCCTGTATTTTGAGGTTAGGAATTTCCTGTGGCGTGATAGCTCAATTCTGTCACCGGATTGGTGATCAGGGGGCCAAATTACTGGATAACATATGTCGCATAAAAAGTACAGACAACTTTTTTTGTGTGTAACTGTGTTATTTTCCATTCTAGTTTCGCCCTCTGCCACTGCGTTAGTTGCATGCGGTTGGCTCAAAAGTACCAAAGTTCGAAAGCTGCTCAGTGATAGCGTAGACAAGAGTCTGCGTGAACAGATCTTAATGAAACTGTGCAGAAATGTGTATTTATTTACTGCTCTGATTGTGTAATTTTTTATTACTTTGTTTATAGATACACGGATAATTTTTGTACAAACAAGTCTTTGCAAAAATTATCCCGGCTTTATATTTTTGTAAAACTCGTTGATTTATTAACTCACTAAAATATCAAAACACATTTCAATCCAATTTACAAGATAATACAGGGTCGGTCCAAATGTGTAGCTGTTTTGAGATTAAGTACTCGTAAAAAATTAGATGAATTAGTAATTTTTTGGGTAATCCTGTATTTAATATACAGGGGCGGACTTGAGAGGAAGATAACATAACAGATAGTTATGAACAAGTAACTGAAGTACGTCCCTGTAAAAATTTTACGTTTGCTAGATGGTCCTAATGTGAAAATATTTCAATTTAAGTCACGATATAAGGCTGTACATATACTAAAATAATTGTTCGTCTAGCAAACCCAACTAATAATTAATATTGCCAATTATTTTCTGGATCCTGAATGTATGCTGTATTTTGTAAAAAAATCCTCTAACTATATCCAACAGGGCCCAATACTTATATCACCCTAGACATTTAGAGTGTTTCTATCCTTTATACTTTCTACTCTTACAGAAATAGATTATGTACCCTACCGGTTAATAGAAATAGACATTTGTATACAGTGTTAAATAGAGTATAATAAACAGCATACATATTTGTAATGTGTGTTTTATTCCTGCTGAAGATCAAAATGACAGGGACTTGGTCGAGGAAGTTACGCAAAAATTGGAAAGTTTATCAAAATTTGTTCCAGTTCCACACTGATTCAATCCAATTTGGAAAAAATGAAAACATATACACTTAATCTTCTCTATGGAAATGATGCTTATTCTGTAAATACTAAAAATGGTAAAAAAAGTACTAAATTCATTGTTAAATGGTTTGGTTTGTACCCCGGTCTGGTTATCACATCATCGGTTCAGATTTCTTAACATGTCGCTGTCTTCCTCATAATCTTATAACTAGCAAGCTTCAAAAAATAGTCTAAACTGAATCAGTTTAATTGTGGTGGCAAGAAATTTCAAAAGACGATCCTTTAGGCAGGGTCAGTAACTTCTACTTCTACTAATCAATTATGATGATGATGTTTCTATAACGACAGTTAAGTCAAAGGAAAAATAACAACATAGTGTTCTCTGAAGCCCTTTTCCCTTCACCGATAATGCTCTGTTTTCCATTAATGTTAATTATATACGAGTATGTACACATCTAACCCTCAAGCTTTTGGTCTGACTGTAATGCATTTGTACCGCATATACGAGAAATCTGAATAATTTAGACCCCCGGAAGCCACAGGAAGATAGAGCTCTACATTTGGTCGTTTCAAAGGAAGAATGCGGGGGGGCTAGCCATTTATATTTAATTGACCGGGATTGAATTCGTTACAGGTCAGGTTTGATTTAGTATAATGGTGTTTCTAAATTAGATGGAATTTTATCTATTTAAGGCAAAGATGAGAGTGAATGATTAGATGAATTAGCAAAGGAAATACAGATGAATGTAATTATAAAGGAGTGATTGGAGGAACTTATGGTATAATGCTCTGGAGGTCATTTTCCATTTAACATATACTACAAAATAGGAGACTAGTAGGACGCTAATTAATTAAATGAAAGTCAAAAGAATAAAAGGTTTTCAGCCTTGATAGTTGTTCGAGGTTAAATATTGAATAATTGAAACTAGTCCAGATGGTATCTGCTTCAAAAAGTCCATATTTAGGTGAATCGTATATCGACGGAGAGTTTCGGCTTTTTGGCTTTCACATGTCACTAGAAATAAAAATTTTTCTATGCGCATAAAAAAATCGTGGGCGGGCTTAACTTTTGGCGGCACAATATGTTAAAAAAATTCGAAAATTGTCATATTTTTCTTCCTATTTAATTATGTATCTTTTCAAGAGTTGATTTTAGGCAAAAATCGAAGAGGAAAAAAATTTTTGTAATTATTTTTTTTATAAAATATGACTAGTTACAAATCGAATGAATCATTATTATTATTATTGTAAAAATCGAAAAAATCGCCAAAAATGGGGTTAAAAACATTACTTTTTATGGATTTTTTTTGGGGTCTTTAAATTGGATATAGGACCTTCATATTTGGCTCAAGAAAACTTGATGTTATGTAGAATCATCACACCAAATTTCATCAAAATCGGTTTGATAAATTTTGCATAATAATTTTGCAATCCACATTTTGCAAATTTTCAAAATTTTGCACAACAAAAACGTTAGATACTTGAAAATTTAAGCGACACGCTTAAAAATTTTTAATATTTCAGCTTCTAGAGGTCCGATTTTGATGATTTTTTTTAAATCTATGTCTCGCAATTTAAAAAAAACAATTAGCGTATTTTCAAATGCCTGTCGTAAATAATTACTGGTCTTTCAACAGTCCGATAATTATTTATCTTTAAACTTCCTTTAATTATCTACTTTATTTTTTTATTGTATCAAAAACAAATTTATTTAAATATTCTAAAATTGTTTAAACAACAATTATTTTCAAAATATATCGAAAATTAGTAATATAGTGAGTTAATTTCTCATTTGCTTAGATTTTAAACAATAAATAATATTTGAATTATACTTTAATCACAAAAGAAATGATAAATAAATTAATAAATTAATTATAAAAAATCAATAATATTTTATTTATTGCATTAATAAATAATTTAAAAAATGTACACAAATTTTTGTTTTAACTTTATGATTGTATATTATATTTATTTATATGTATAAAAATATAATATTAAGAATTTAATTGAACTTTTTTACATGGGATTTCGTTTTCTTTTTCGATATTATATTTATTTAATTAATAAATGATTACTGGTGATCGAAAACAGAATGTATCAAAAAGTTTTATAAAAGAAACAACTATAACTCATGCTATTATTGCATCAACTCGACCAAAATCGTTTATTTCGCTACTTTTGCTCGTATTGGAATAATGTTGAATAAGAAATATGCTTCAAAAGAACTTTTGCAAATTTAATTAATTTTAAAAAAAATCATCAAAATCGGACCTCTAGAAGCTGATATATTTTGGACTCGCCGATTCAATTTCGAGCAGGCCGAAGCGGCAGCGCTCTCTGCTTCCCCACCACTACCACCCGTACTATTTTCTTGAATTTCTCGCTTGCGTAAATAACTTTAAACACGTTTTAAAGTAGGTTGCCAACGAAGAAACGTATTGCAAACTTAGACTTGGTAAGTACTCGGAATACTAAAGGTATTTTTCGAAAAATTAGCCCGGATGTCCCAGTACATTTAGTGTAAATGACGGTTAACTTTGATCGTCTATAACTACGTAACTAATTGACCAATCGATCTGTTTTTTTTTTAAGAAGCGTCTGTCCAAGAACTTTTAAAACCTGCTTTAAAAAATTTAATTTGATTGAATATTCGCAAAGTTATTCTAATTGTTTATAAGTACAAAAATTCGACCAATGTTGAGCGCCAGAGCTCTCCTAATTGGCGGAATAAAATTTTTCAAAAAACGTTTGGAAGCTTGAGAGCAAGTCTATATGTGATTAAATATTTAAGGACCTTGGTTTTTGCTGTGCAAAATTTAAAAAATTTGCAATTTTTTTTTCAAAATCTGGATTGCAAAATTATTATGCAAAATCTATCGAACCGATTTTGATGAAATTTGGTGTGATGATTCTACATAATATGAAGTTTTCTTGAGCCAAGTATGAAGGTCTTATACCCAATTTAAAGACCTCAAAAAATTCCCTAAAAGGTAATGTTTTTTAATCCCAATTTTGGCGTTTTTTTTCGATTTTTACAAAAATAATCTTGATTTATTCGATTTGTAACTATAGT